GTCTCATACACCAAAAAATAATGTATCTTTGCATAATAATAAAACCAAGAAAAATAAAAAGGTGTCGAGTGTCGACTAAATAAATATCAACGCTTTTCTAGAAGCATTTTTGTCTTTCTCTGCTGAATTATTTATTACGTTTATAAAATATTTATGGTAGTGTACAAAAAAAGAGACATAAGTGTTATCTAAAGGACGTGTCGGTTCGGCCACTGAAATGGATAGGACTTCTAGAAGACAAATGAACCCTACAAGTCTACAAATACGATTTTGTGCGTAACACATTCTTTAATCCTTATTACTGTTTTTAAACAGTGAATCTGTTATCACTGATTCACTCACATTTATTTTTTATGAAGCAAGCAAATGTTTTGAGTTGCAACATATACTATGATTAATTTGTTGAATAGTCCAAAAAAATTATTAACTCATAAACTAACCAAAAATATCATATGTAGCAAAATTATAGTCTTTAAATTTAGGGTTTTTGGTTAGTTTTTGAGTTATATTTTTTTTTTACTATTCAATAAATTAACCCTATATATTAGAAAAAAAAAAGAAATTTTAAAAATGACAACAAAAAGAAGAACAAACTTACTCTACCACCTGGCAGTTTTTGTGTAACAACAAAGAAAAATGACGATAAAAACAAGAATTTTAGTAAAAGAAATAGTTACTGTGGTTGATATTGATAGGTATAGATTAAATATTTGATTAGTATTGAATAACTGGAATTTAACTTTGTTAGTTATTTTATCATGAATGACTCGCAATAAGCAAAGTTTAAAAGAGGAAATATTTTGACTGATTATACAAAAGAGATGAAGAAAGAACAATTTGGTTTCTTTAAGCCTCTTAAATGTAATGTATGGGAAACCAAAGTTTAAAAGAGGAAATATTTTGACTGAATTATACGAACACATGTTTGTTTTTCTTGGTCAAGCTGTAGTGTGAAAGCTACTGTGAAAAGTTTTTWAAAAAAATTTTGGTTTATAAATAAAAAGTTTTCAACAGTCTAAAGATAGAGAGAAGGGCCTTGAGGAGAAAAAAGCGATTTGCCTGTTTGCTCGGTCGATGGTCGGAGGCTCCCTCAGCTCAGCCGTTGGTCGGGTCTGGTCCTGTAAATCTCTTCGTAATTTGATTTTCAGCTGCAGTGATAAGTTTTTGTGCCTTGGGAGAGAGATCTCGAGATCTGCTTGGTGTTGGTGGGGCTCAGACGATGCTCCTCTCCTTTCGCCGGTTCCGATGGACGGTGGGTCTATCGGTGGAGCGGTTTCGTGCCTGGTGGTTTAGAGATCCGGTCCTTGTTGGTGTGGTTTTGCTTCGCAGGCCTATCTAGGGGCTTTGGCTCTCTTGCTCTAGGGTTGGGAACTCTCAGGTATGGGTCTCTGTGTCCATAGCTCGCTGATTAGAAGGGTCGATTTGGCTTGGCTTTGGTCACTTGTTATCGATTTGCGTTGGTAGTAGTTGATCTTTAGCCTTGTTACTCGTTGGCCTTGTTTGATCGGGTATGTGGAGGAGGTTTATGCTGGCCGATAGTGGTCTTTGTGGTTTCTTTTCCTCGGCCAAGAACTTTCTTTAGGTTGCTTTGTCGTTTGACTAGGGCTTGTATCGGATAAACAGTGTTTCATTACCATTCTATTGTCTTAGATTTTTTGATTAAGTTCTAACTACTCTCCGAATGGTTGATTGAGTCTATGCCTCCGTTGGTATCTTGTTCCTGCTTGAGGTGGTTTATTGGAGCTGTTTGATTAAGTATGACTCTTACTTGTGGATGAAAAAGTTCTCGTGGATGTCCTCCCTAGCCGTGTTGTTTAGCTTCGTTTTATCCGCTGTAAATAGTTCTTCTGATGGGCTCTATGCTTACCAACTCTTTGCCGTCGTGTATTCGGGTTGTGTATCATCATGAAGACTTTTGGGTTATGATTGGTGTTAATCAGACTTGCTCTTCTTCTGGTCTTTTCTTGGCTATTGTCACTCTTTGTTGGTTCTAGATTGGACTCGAGTCTTGGTGTCGTTGACTCGAGTCTTGGTGTCGTTGGCTCGAGTGTGTCTGCATCCCCGTCTTACCTCTTCGACGTTGTGAGTCGACAGCAGTGGTTTTTGTCTATGGGATTCAAGACTCTTGGCTTGTTTGGTGCATGTGTTGGTTCTTTTGGTTCATTAATTTTGGTTTTAGGGTGTTTGGTCCCCTAGCTTTTCGTTGGCTTAGGGTCCCTTTGTCTGAAGATCTTCTTATAGCTCCTCCTTTGTATTTCATTTTCGTAATTCTTTATTGTAGTTTAAAAACGTTTCCCAACTTTGTTTGCTACGGTGTTTAATATAATATTTCAAATG